CATGTGTACCAGTTGCGACGCGCTTTCGCATGAAGTAAAGAAGAGGCGGGATTTACTGTGATGAACTCACCTTTGTCATCACTTGGTCAGAATTCCCTCGGGATGTAATTCGTGGAGCTGTGAGTCAAGAGACAAAAATGTTACTCACACTACTGTATTAGACGAAAAATATGGTTTCCAAGCCTAGCCACGTTCATATCATTTTGTGGAGCCTGCTGTACTAATGAACAACCATCTGTTTAACATTAACCTTGATAGGCCACTTATCCTGGTGTTGGTAGCAGCTTGATTTTGCAGACATACTGAACCTATTAATGGAGGAAAAATAGGCAGCTTATTTGTGAATTTAAAAAGTGCACAATTTACTGCTGCTTTAATTAGGTCCTACTCAACCGGCAGAATGTGAAGACACTCGGTCAAGTGCTCTCCGACCTATCGGATGCCTTCGGGCCACGATGGGGTCATGAACGACTGCGTAAACTCTTCCACCTGAACGGACGTGAAGTTCGCACTGTCCAGGAGCTGCTTAAGACGGACGGAATTTTCCTCGGATTCAGCAATCCACCACCAGCCTCAGGACAGGGGACACAGCCATCTACAACTAACCCATTTGAGGAGGGTGGAAAACTGAACATTGGAGGCGAGACGACTTCGCTCGGGACGGCACCAATTATCGCCAGCAACGGACTCAGAGTTGCCGACTACGCAATCCTCGAGGCAGGCCGGCTGGGCGCAAAATTAGGTGTAGAAGTGCTCACGTGGAACTCGGACCCAGTGTCGGGTTGCAGTCCCGGCCCGATGCGTGGCGGTGGATGCGCCAAAGTCTGCAACAAATCATACAAGCCTGTCGAGGTCACATCCGAAGACGTCAAGGTGAGCCTTATTCTGCCCACCCATGAATTTCGAGCAAGATTCGCGCGGTGCTTCCTCCGTAAAGATGCAAAGTAACTAAATTTTCAAGACTCAAGCATCACTAGGGAATGTTACTCTTTATAGACAGAGTAAGCAAGCATTTTGCTCAGGGGGGAAACTCATAAACTTCAGCAGATTTTGAAGATATGCAGACCAAGATGTTGTGGCCTCTAGTATGGTCGCAGTCTCCTTTCGATTTATAGAAATTGGTTGACCTCGTTGTCGCAACTTGGTCTTGTTGTC